CAATAAAAGTTTATTAAAATCTTTCAATTTAAAAGTCTTTAAAAATCTACAAAAGTCATGATTGAATACACTCCCCTAAGTATGTATTTATTTATATACATTTAGATCGTGCATTGCACGGGACAATAATATTTACTCCCTGTTTGGCAAATGGATGTTAGCTGTTAGCTGATTGGGTTAATTAGAGGGTAAATTAGTTGATAACATTAGCTGATTGTAAAAAGGTGTTTGGTAAGTTAGGTGATAACTGTTTGGTATAATTTCTTTTCTCAAAAAGTTAATTGAAAACATTGCTTTGAGTAGTTTTTTGAATTTTAGCATTTTGAAATTACAAAAAGCTAATTAATCAAATACTTATATTGATTTTTGAACCAAGTCAAAGAGCTAATAGTGTTAAATAAGTCAAAATTAATCTACCGATTAACTATTTTACAAAACAGGGCCTTAGTAATAATAATACCAGATTATTGTAAAACTCCATGGGTGGCAGTGACTATGAGAGACGTACAGTACGTAACTCAAACATACCTAAACGATGGTGCAATACATTTGAATTTTTTTATATTTTTTTTAAAGGAAATTTGAATTTTCTTCAAGCATGACATATACTTATATTTATAGGCACACAAAGTATTCATAATCTTAATCGTAATAGGAACAAAATATTCCTACTCTTAATTATCATAGGAATTGAATAATTAAGCAGTTTTACTAAAATTAAATTAACTAAGTTACTTGTCTAACCATAAATGAAATATGCATGTTATCCTTGGAATGCATGGAAGGGGTGATATTTTGTTTTCCAAGTAGATTGGATGATATTTTATTTTCTATGAAAATTGGGAACAGAGTATCATATGATAAGAATATGTCGTCTTTATAAAACATTCTTAATTACCTTAATTAGATCAAAATGTTTATAATTATAATATTAAAATTTATTATATTGTGTTTGTTAGGGTTTTAATTGCTCATAAAACCTCAACATATAATTGGCAATATTATTATGGCAAACTAAGATAGGGTTAGCTTGGTGTCAGTTTTGTTCTACAGAGGACTGATTGATCAAATACAGCAACAGAGGGACTGACACTGAAGATCTGTTTTAGGAAGATGTTTCCCTTTTGCAGAACGCGGTTTAAGAAGTCAGATTTGGAAAGAAGATCAGCGTATCTGTCTTGGAAAGGTATGGACCGGATCTTTAAGATTACATTTTTCTTATATCGTCCTACCATCTACAATCACAGATATCTATGGAGAGTGTTCTTATTATGGAACTATAAGTACTCTTATTCGATCAAGAATTAGGGTTATGCTTTTAAGAAGAAAGAAACACTTAGAACTAGTTTGAAGATCATATCTTTGATTATCATTCCTCTTCTCAAGGCAATTTTTTCTTGGTGATTATGATGAAGAACTTGAGAAGAAATATCACTGTTTAAACGAAAGGACGCTAAGATCACACAGTTGTGGGAACAATATTGAACAGCGTCACTGAAGTGGACTGCATCAGAGTTAGCTCTCCAAGTGAAGGGATTTCATTGGACTTCTGCATGCATGGCTCTCCAACTTCAACAATCCACTAAACTTGTGTAGACTGGGTACGTACCTTGTGTGGGGCACTTTAGTGAGATTATTGTTTCTCTACTTTTGTACATTGGATTATGAGTTAGTGGATTGGACGCTTTTGTGATCGTCCCCCAGACGTAGATACACACCGTATCGAACTGGGTAAACATTTAGTGTGTTGCTTTGTGTTGTTTTGCCTCTTTCTACAAACTTCTCAATGACCTATCTAACTGACTGACATCATCACCGAATCAGTCAGTCCATTTTATCAGTCGTTTAATCCGGTTAATTTGATTAAAATGAGGAAATGCAAAATTACAGTGTTTTATATATATAATGTTTAATTTAAAAAGTACTATTACATTGATAAGTCAATTCAATAACTATTTTAATAAGCATCACACAAATTAAACATATATTAAATCAACAAAAGCGCGCAATTCGGAGGGCAAAAATTATAAAAGCATAGTTCCTTTTAATAAATCATATGATAATATGATATTAGTCAGAGACCAATACTTAACCTCTAACCATACCCAAAATATGTGTCAATTCCTAAAAACATAAGAATTTCAAATTGTATTCTTTTATATATTTTGAACACCTTTCATATTTATTCTCAAATAATATTTTTGAATACTACTGCTCTATTACAATGTAGTATAACACAAACGCCTCAACCGAGGCTTAAACTCATAACCTTCCAAATGGAAGTCCAATCCGGGTACCATTTGACCACATAGTTTTAGTTATTCTCAAATAATATAATTAAACACTATTCTATTAATCTAGTTTGACTAGGTTCATTATAATTGCTTATGTTACTAATAATTTGGGCAACTTCGAATTCCTGAGCGGCATCAGAATTAAGTTATAACATGAATGCTGCTCTTATGTTGCCTTTCACGTTGGCTGAGGTCAAGATTGCACTCTTTTCGATGGCCCCGGAGAAAGCGCCGGGTCCGGATGCTATGACGCCTGTTTTCTATTAACATTTCTGGCCAATTTTGGGGCATGATTTGTTCATGTTTTTAACGAAGTGTGTAACTAACAGAAGCCTACCACAAGGACTCAATTATTCCAACATTGTCCTGATCCCAAAAAAGAAGGTACCCGAGAAAGTCTCGGACTTACGCCCGATTGCTTTATGCAATGTTGCGTATAAGGTGCTGGCCAAAACGCTAGCTAATAGACTAAAAGAAGTACTGCAGAGTGTTGTATCTTTGTCTCAAAGTGCTTTTGTCCCCGACAGACTCTTAACGGATAACATAATCGTGGCAGGGGAAGTAGGGCATTATCTGAGGAGGAAGTCAGGAGGATTGATGGGTTGGACGGCATTGAAACTTGACATGGCCAAGGCCTACGACCGGATGAAGTGGGGCTTTTTGAAGGGGATGTTAGCGGCTCTGGGATTTTACCAGGGATGGATCGAACTACTTATGATGTGTGTCACGATCGTGGCTTAATATATTCAGGTTAACGGGGATTCGGTGGGATCGATAAACCCGTCTCGAGGCATCCGTCAGGGCGACCCGCTGTCTCCCTACCTCTTCATTCTGTGTGCTGAAGGTCTATCTATTATTTTACAACAAGCCAAGGCGAGAGGTGATATCCATGGTGTTAGAATCGCACGGGATGCCCCACCTATATCACATCTGTTCTTCGCGGATGATAGCTTATTATTCTTCAGGGCTACATCTGAGGAGGCTCAGTGGGTCAAAGACTGCTTGGAGATGTATAGCGCAGCCTCGGGACAAACTGTAATTTTGCAATTCCTCATTTTAAGTAAATTGACAGAATTAGATGACTGATGTAGATTACTGACTGATTCAGATAAGAGGCCAATCAGTAATGATAGATCACGAAGAGAGAATAAGAGAAAGATAACTGCACAAAAGCCAAAGACACAGAATGTTTACCCAGTTCGATACGGTGTGTATCTACGTCTAGGGGACGATCACATAGGCGTCCAATCCACTAAATCATAAACCAATGTACAAACGTAGATATACAATAATCTTACCCAAGTGCCCCACACAAGGTTCAAACCCAGTCTACACAGGTCTAGTGGATTGTTGAAGATGGAGAGCCATGCATACAGAAGTCCAATGAAATCCCTTCACTTGGAGAGCTCACTCTGATGCAGTCCACTTCAATGACGCTCTATAAAGTTCTTCCCACAACAGTGTGATCACAGTGTCCTTTCGTTTAAGCAGTAGTAACTCTTCTCAAGTTCATCATCTTAATCACCGTGAACATATTGTATTGAGAAGGTGCATGACAATCAAAGATCTAATCTCATATAGCAGATATGGAGTGTTTCTTCTTACTTGCGGCGTAACCCTAATTCTCTTCGAATAAGGGTACTTATAGATCCTTTAATAACCACTCTCCATAGATGTCTTTGATTGTAGAAGGTAGGACTATAAAAGAGGAATGTAATCTCAGAAGATTAGGTCCATACCTTTCTTAAGAATATACACTGATCATCTTTCCATATGAGTCTGATAATACCGCGTAAGCCTTTTAAGAAACCAGCTTCCTAAATCAGATCTGCAGTGTCAGTCCTTCTGTTGTTGCTTCTGATTGATCAGTTATCTGTAGAGATAAACGGATAGACTCTAAACCTATCTTAGTATGCCATAATAACAATGCCAATTATAATATGGGGCTTTTGAACATTTAAAAACACTAACAAACTCTCCCTTTGGCTATTATTTAGCAAAACAACTCGACTAGAAACTCAAAGAGCTAAGATAGGTTATTATAAAGAAGCAACCCATATGTCCGAACTGATTACATAGAATGAAAACAGAAACATAGGATCCAAAACAGTTTAGGATAAAAAAAAAAAAAAAAAAAAAAAACATAAACGCCCAGCCAGGGCCAGAAGGGACTCGAACAAAAAACAAAAAAATTAAACTCCCCCTGAGTTCATACTACTCCCCCTTTTTGCCAATGGTAGCCAAAGATCAAGCATTGGAGGGAGAGTCACTGTCAGACTTCACAGGATCAGCAGCAGCAGCAGCTTCAGTCAGGCTCAAACGAAGAAGAACAGTAGCTAGCTCAGTACGGGCACCTGTCAGTTGCTTTGCAATAATGCTGTGCACCGTCTCAAGATCAGCAACTCTTGCCTTCAGCTGTATGGAAAGCTGAACATCCTTATCATGAGGAGAGTCATCAGGCACAGCATCTGGTTCAGGATTGGATGGGGCAGTCACAGGAACAACATCCCGAATGTGATCTCCAGACAGAAGACATTTATCAAAAGTATAAAGCAACGTTGGGCTGATTACTTCACTGGGCATAGGCTCAAGGCCCTGAGTGGTAATGATGCCAAAAATCAAATTTGGGAAGGGTAGTCTTACCTTCTGTTCGCGTGGTTGAATCAGGGTGAGGATGTGATAGTAAATTCATTTGCCCAGATCAAGTTACATCTTTGTTCCAATTCGAAATAAGAACCCAGCCAGAAGCTTGCCAACTGTGTGAAAATGGGCTGATGGGAGCCAGTTGTGAAGAGCTAGGCGGTGTAAAATCACATATCTGGACGTGAGATGGGAGCTTTGCAGATAGTCCTTGTCACCCGTAGGCCATGATTCTGTCTGCCCACCGGTCAGAGTTCTGGCAACTAAGTCCCAGTCAGCAACAGCTTCTTCTTGAACTGCTGGCAAGCCATAGTATTCATTAATCATATCCGGCCAAAAAACATACCACCTTCCTCTGATAAAGATCTGCATCGGTCGTGGCCCTGTGAGAACGTCAATCTCATCATTGAGATTGAAATAGAATTCATATGTGAGCAGCTTAGAGTAAGGGCAGATGTCCGTGACAGTTTTCAACAATCCGACTTCATTCAGCAAGGGCAGAATGTCACAAACGGAGTTCAGCTGGTTCTCGTCCACCGATCTTTGAACAATAAGATCCCTTCTAACCATAGTGGCCCATTTGGTCTGTGCAGCAGGAGATACAAACTGAGGCCGGTAAACAGATGGGTCAGTTTCTTCAACAGGTGGGACCTCAGGGGTGATACTTCGACCTCTTGATCGTGTGGATGGCTTCCCTTTTCTGACAGAAAGGGCTGGTACAGAGGTAGCTTGAACAGCAGTAGATCCTTTTTGCTTAACAGACGATCGCAGAGTCTTGAACACATGTTGAACAGGCGGGTTTCCTTCAGGCTTAACTTTCTAACTCGAGTTTTTCTTCTTCTCAAGCTGATCCACATCAGCATTATCATCACCGGTCTCAACAACAACCTTTACTGGGACATTCTTCCTTTTTGACCGTCTTGTTTCCTTGGTTGGGGACTGAACCGGAGTCACAGAGTGGCTAGAATCAGAAACATTTGCAGTCGAGCTTCCAATAATATTCGAAATCTCTCAAATTTTGAAATTCGTGGAGTCAGGATGAGCAGTTGCCTCAACAGTTGGAACATCAGATTGAAGTGCTTGAGATCCATACACTTTAGCCAGTATTTTATCATCTTCACTTGAGGATTCGGAAGGATGAATCACTCGATATGGTTGAGGGATGGAATCAGATGGTAGCCCAGCAAAGAGTCGCACATGTTCCAGACTCTCTCCTAAAGATGTTGCAGTGTAAACAGGAATTCCACCTGTTTTCTCATACTTGTGGGGGCTTGATAAATCAACAGTTTCAACAGTAGTAGGTAAAACAGGAGTATCAATAACAGAGCAAGTTTCTTTAGTGTCATCAACATTCTCAGCAGGAGGCAGAGCAATATTATCAGAAGAGTAAACGACTAAACTCAGTGGATTTAGCTCATCAGAGGACTTTGCTTTCTCATCAGACACATGCAAGACATATCATACCAACAGATTCACTCAAAGGCAGAGATAAAGAATCAACATTCATAAGAGGCTTCTCGGAATCCAAAGCAGTTAAATTTTCAGAAATAACAGGCACACAAGATGGGGTAGCAGAAACATCAAGTTTATCTGGTGAAATTTCAATAGGAGTTTCAGAATAGTTTGACCTGTTTCGGAGGATCTCCTGTCTGTGTGTTGCCTCTTTTTGAGCAGCTGCGAGATACAGAGGTTGCGCCTCCGCTTGCCGTCGAGAGGCCTCAACCAATTCTAGGGCTCGATGTGCAAAGTATTGAAGGAATGCCCCGGCCCGATTTCCATCCAAGGGTTCTAGAATATATACTGGAGAAACTTCATCACTGGCTTCAGAAACCATCATAAGCAGTTCAGTCGCATCATCTTCAGACCATTCAGCATAAGCTCTGGGTAATTGGTCATCACAGTTACTAAAATCTCGTCGCGAAGCAGAGGATCAAGTTTGAGCTTCTTCTTCATAGCAAACTGCAGCAGCGTCTGAATATGCTTATGGGCCACCTCCGGAGAGTGTGTCTTGCTTCCAAGTTTGATAATGATGTTTCTTATAGGGTCTGCCATTGAAGGTTATGTGCGAAGAGAATAGCAGATCACTGAAGGCAGATATGCAAGAGAGACAGAAAGTTGAGAGCTGTGGTGATCGAAGATGTGTTTTTCTTCTTGACCCGGTATCAAATAGGCTTAATGGTGATGAACCCTAATTAATGCGGCTTGTCAAATATCATGCAGACGCGATTGATTGACACAACGGTACAGCTCCTTTTTAGGAAGGAAACGGAACCCAAGGAAATTTGAAATTCGAAAAGAAATTAAGATCTTTTAAGATATCTCTGAGAAGCATAATGTTAAATAATCTTCTTAACATAAATAGAGATGAGTCTTTAAGGAAAGTCAAATCATAACACTGACCCGTATACACCAACTCCTCTCTGACGGACCAACAAATTCCCAGAGCAGATCTGAGAATTTCAAAACGATTAGCATCCAATGGCTTAGTCAGAATGTCCGCCAGTTGTTTGTCAGTCTGAATGTATTCCAGTTCAATTTCCTTGGATTCAACCAGGTCTCTGATGTAATGATGCCTGATGTCAATATGCTTCGTTCTGGAATGTTGAACAGGATTCTTGGAGATGTTAATAGCACTGACATTGTCACAGAAGAGTGTCATTTTTCCTTTAATGTACTTCAGAATGCGTTTTGCAGTTATCAGATGAGATTCCTTTGGATCAGATTGATACCTTGCACAGATTCCTACACTGAACATTATGTCTGGTCGACTGGCAGTTAGATACAGTAGACTGCCTATCAAGCTACGATAGACTGTGTTATCCACTGATACACCAGTTTCATCTTTCGATACTTTTGTAGAGGTGGAGACAGGTGTTCTGGAAGATTTACATGTTTCCAGATCAAACTTTTTGACAAGATTCTTAGCATACTTCTCTTGCGAAATAAAGTATCCTTCAGAACTTTGCTTGACCTGTAGACCTAGGAAGTATGTCAGTTGACCAACCATGGACATTTCAAACTCTTCCTCCATTACTTTTACCAACTCATCAGTGTATTTCTGCAGGGTCGATCCAAACACAATGTCATCAACATAGATTTGAGCTATGGTTACATGACTTCCAGTAGTTTTTACAAACAGAGTTTTGTCAACACTTCCGCGTTTATACCCATGCTAGAGCAAATACTGTGTCAGTCGTTCATACCATGCCCGTGGGGCTTGTTTAAGACCGTAGAGAGCTTTTCGAAGCTTATAGACATAAGTAGGGTGTTCTGGATCTTCAAAACACTTAGGTTGAGCCACATAGATATCTTCATGGAGATACCCATTCAGAAATGCTGTCTTGACATCCATCTGATATAATGTAAATCCCAAAATGCATGCGACAGCCAGCAAGATTCTGATTGACTCGAGTCTAGCTACAGGAGCAAACGTCTCGTCATAGTCAATCCCTTCAATCTGAGTATAACCTTGAGCAACTAACCGAGCTTTGTTTCTGGCTATATTCCCGGCTTCATCAATTTTATTTTTAAAGATCCACTTCGTTCCAATTACGTTGACACCATCAGGTCTTGGTACAAGATTCCAGACATGATTCCGCTCAAACTGATGTAGTTCCTCCTGCATTGCCTTGATCCACAGATCATCCTGTAAGGCTTCTTTGACATTTCTGGGTTCTATCTTTGAGGTATAGCAAGCAGACCCAGATATTTCTGTCAGATTATTTCTTATTCTGCTTCTGGTCTTCATCCCATCTGATGGATCTCCTATAATGTTATCTGATGGATGGTTTTTTTGAGTTCTAGTGGGCTTGTCTTTACCAACATCATTCATGAGATCTATCTCCTGTTCCGAACTTTCTTGATCTTCATCTGACGAATCTTGTGGTTTGAGTTGACTGTTGTTATTACTCGCATCTGTATCACTTAGAGAAGACTCTATCACTGTTGAGTCTACTGATTCTTCTGGGTTGTCATCGATAACCACGTTCACTGACTCCATCACAGACTGAGTCCTCTTGTTGTAGACTCTGTAGGCACGACTGTTCGGAGAGTAGCCAAGGAAGATGCTCTCATCACTCTTGGGTTCAAACTTCCCTCTTTGTTCTCTATCAGCTAGCACATAACACTTTGTTCCAAACACATGAAAATATTTCAGATTTGGCTTCTTTCCCTTCCAGATCTCATAAGGAGTTTTCGTTGTTCCTGGTCTAAAATATACCCTATTTATAGTATGAAACGCTGTGTGAACTGCTTCAGCCCAGAAGCGTTGTGGCAGATGTGAGGCATGTAACATGACTCTAGCCATTTCCTGTAAAGTTCGATTCTTTCTTTCCACTACTCCATTCTATTGAGCAGTTCTATGAGCTGAGAACTCATGTGATATACCATGCTCGGAGCAGAAGTCTGAATATAGTGAGTTCTCAAATTCCTTTCCATGATCACTCCTCAATCTCTGAACTTTTATAATGGAGTCATCATTTTCCTTCTGAACTCTTATGCACAGAGTCTTAAAGGCCTTGAAGGCTTCTGTTTTTTCTCTCAGAAAGTATACCCAGCTGTATCGAGAGAAGTCGTCCACACACACAAATATGTATTTCTTTCCCCCAATACTTTCAGTCTGTGTTGGCCCCATGAGGTCTATATGGATAAGGTCTAGACATTTCTCAGTGGTGATACCTCTTACTGCTTTGTGTGGAGTTCTGATTTGTTTCCCAATTGCACATGCGCCACAGATTTTTTCTGGATAAATTCTGATCTTAGGTACACCTTTTACTGCTTCCAGTTTTATCAGCTTATCCATATCTCTGAAGTTTATGTGACCCAGTCGTCTATGCCAGAGTTTTGATTCATCAGACTTGGATAGATGACAAGCAGTTTCATTTGTCAAAACATAACAATTGTCTGAGGACCGAGTTCCTTCCATGACAAGTTGATTTGCTTTGTCACTAACTCTGCAGCAGTTACGATCGAAACACACATTCCAAAATTTTGATCACACAACTGACTGATGCTAATTAGATTCGCTTTCAACCCACTGACTAGCAGGACTTCTTCTAATTGAGGTAAGCCTGGTACATTTAGGATACCTTTTCCCACGATTTTACCTTTTTGTCCATCTTCATATGTTACAGCTCCACTGCTGGATTGAACAGCCATCAGACACTTAATATTTCCAGTCATATGTCTGGAACATCCACTGTCTAAATACCATCTAGCATCAGTTGTAGATGCAGTCAGAACAATGGTGGGGTAGCAGATGACTTCTGACTTTCTGATCCAAACATGTCTAGTGAATGGTGTAATAGTCTTATTCTGATATTTTTCCTTCCTTTGATCTCTGTAGAAAAAATAACACTCAGGTCGAGTATGACCTTTTGTTTGACAGTAGTGACAAATGGGAGTGTAATATTTAACTTTGACAATCTTATTTTTGAACCTCGAATAATGAGATTGATGAGTTGATCTGGCCAGGTTAGTATCAGTATTCTGATCGTACCTCCTTCCCTTGTTTTGTACTGACTGAGATGACTGTCCTTGTTCATACCTGTGATCAGCAGTGGTCTTAGACATTCCCTCTTTGATGAACTTTGGTGCGTTATTCGAAGACTCTCCTTGTTCAAATCCCAGACCCTTTTTATCATTAGGATTTCTGCCAGAGTCTAGAATTTTATCTAAGGTAGATGTGGTGTCCATCATCTGGATATTTCTCTTCAAGCTCTCCAATTCCTTTATTAGTTTCCCTTCTCTGGACCGTATCTGAGTGATGATATCTTCTTTTATGACCAGTTCTGCATTCAATTTCTTTAGAAAATCATCTCTTTGCTTCAGCTCGTCATTCAGATTCTTATTCACTTTCACAAGTTGTTCCCAGCTAGCAACAAGTTTTGCAAATTCTGTCTCAAGTTGAGTATGTCTCTCTTCAAAATCATCAGTTGATAAGTATGATTCTCCATCAGATTGATCTCCGTCTGACTGAAGGTCTGTAGCAGTAAAGAAAGCTACAAAGTTTCCTAAATTATCCTCTGATTGATCATTTGAAGTTTCCTCCTCATCATCACTAAGAGTAGCTACAGACATAGCCTTTTTCCTTTTAAGATATGTTGCACATTCAGCCTGTATGTGACCGTATCCTTCACATTCCCTACATTGCACTGACCGATTGAGGGGTTTTCCTGTGTCTGTGGAACTGTTTCTGTTTTGTCTTGATCGCCCAGTCTGAGATTGATTGTTTTGTGAGAAAGGTGTTGTTTCTACCTTTTGATATGAGGAGTTGTTGCCTTTGTATTGTGTCCTGGTAGGCTGACCTTGACCCTTTCTGTTGAAACCTTTTAAAATTTTCTTGAAGTTTTTGGTTAGAAGAGCTAAGGTTTCATCATCTATGTCGTCTGTGTCAGATTCTCGATCAGCCTTAGCCACAAAGGCTATCGACTTTCCTTTCCTGTTGCTTCCAATATCATCATCAGCAAGAACTTCCAGGTCGTATGTGTGTAAGCTTCCCATGAGTTCTCCGACAGTCTTCTTTTCCCAACCTGTGTATTCCTGAATAGCAGTTACTTTCATTCGAAAGCGTTTAGGTAAAGATCTAAGAATCTTTTTGACCACTCTCTCATCAGTGAATGGTTCCCCAAGAATTGAGGCTCAATTCATCAAGTTCTGAACCCTACTGTGGAAGGTCGAAATGGTTTCGTCTTCAATCATTCTGAGTGCTTCGAATTCTGACAGAACCATTTACAGCTTTGACTGTTTGACATCACTGGTTCCTTCAAATCTGGTTTCAAGAATTTTCCATACCCGTTTAGCCTCTTTTACTCCTATAACAAGCGTAAAACCAAA